ATTTGCCACATTTACAACATTACACGAAGGCTCAGCGTGCGAACATAAGACATGAGGTGCGATCACTATGCTGGGAAAACAATTAAGCTTAACACGTGTCACGTATGCTATCACGTCGAGAGAGGCGTTCCTTGGTGCATGTCGACCCACGCCCAGGACAGGAGGATGCGGGGTCATCACGAGAAACATGGCTTTCTCCGGAGAGTGCATATCAAGAAAACATGACACGACGGGTCGACTTTTAAGTTTTTCGATTGAAGCAGTCCAACGAGGAGCGAGTTGTACAGTAAATGACGTGATGCTTGGTCGGTTTGGCTGCTCGCCGCCTGAACCGCGGTCGTCCCCGCCGCGCTTGAGCTTCGATCAGCCGTCGACACCACCGACTGCGTCCCCCGCGGGGCCGGGCCGCCGCCGCTCACGTTGCACATTCCGCAGACACACATTGTCCACCTGTCCGGAGCGCGCCGGCCGCGGCCCCCTCTGCGCATTGTCCACCGGCAGGCACTTCGGGGCCGGCGGCGACACGGCGGATAGCAGGGGGTCCTTCCGGGAAGAGATGGTCGTAGCGGTAACGAGGGGGGACTTGGCTACACTAGGCAGACTCTTCAATTTAATTGTCTTACAGAAACCTGAGAGGTTCATCAGTATTCCTCTCTGCGGTGGCACAATAGCGCGAGCGGTCCCGCGGACCCGCGTGAGCGGCGCGGAGCACATTGGCCTCCCCGGCCGCCGGCCGGTTCGCGCCCGCTATTTTTACACGGTTGTTTTGGCCGAATTTTTGGCATAGCGCAGCGCGACGCAGGTCGGCCGAGTCCAGAGGGCGTGGCGGGGCGGGCGGTGGGGTCGAGCGCCTTGCGGGTAGGCAACCGAGTGACAGCCGTGGGGACGGGTTGCCTACCCCTCGGGCGTCCTGGCGAGGTGACTGCGGGGATCCGGGCAGGGTGTGGCCGTCCGCGAGCGCCCCACAGGTAGGCAACCGTGCGACATGCGCGGCGACGGGTTGCCTACCCCTCGGGCGCCCTGCTCCCGAGCCAAGGCGCTCGTCCTCGCGCCGGCGCCAAAAAGACACGAAACATAGCCGCTTCTGTTTTCGCAATAGAGCGTGGCGGAGACGCCCACGCAGTCCTCGAGGGGCGGGGAGGCCGAGGCCCACTGACACATATCAGCGGCATATATTCCTAGAGTCCTATCCCAGCCCGCCAACCCCACCTCTAGGAGAAGCGATTTAAAAGCCCGAGACCTTTCAGGAAAAATTAAAAACTTTTGCAGAAAATTTGGTGAGAAATGATATATTTCCAGACAAGTTGAAATGAAAAGGAACTTTACGGGGAAATTCGTACATTTAAAAATTGAAGATCTCAGAAAATTCCTGAAACATACTTTTCAGAAACATTAAAACCTCTCGCCAGTAGCGAGCGGTAGCGAGGCTAGATCCAGTACAGCTGGTCTCCCCGGCCCCGGCCCCGGCCCCGGCCCCGGCCCCCGGCGCCCCCATGGAGTAGTGCCAGTGCGTGGCGACGACGCGTTGATGCCGCGACCCGGATACTCGGCAGGTGCAACACTAAAGGGCTTCAGCCAACACGGCGCAGTCGCGGCGCAGTGGAGCTGCCCGCCCGCCCGTCTGCCTCTTTTCACCTCATTATTTTCGCCGGGCCACACCGCGGCAGCAGCGGATCTATCCATTCGTCAGTCGTCGGGGGCCTCGCCTCGGCTCATTCCCACAGCCTTTGCCTGCTGCTGCTACTGCTTGCCGTTCAGCTCGGCTTGCTCCTACCAACCGCTGCCGTTGAAGAAGAAGAAGAACAACAACAACAACAACAACAACAACCGAGAAGTCCGGTCTAGTCTAGTCACCTCCAACCGTTGCCATTAAGCACTTAATTGGGCGTCCATCACTGCAGGACACAGTCTTTACGGCTTGCTTGTGCCACAGAGCCGCTGCTGCCAGCCAGCCTGGCGTGTTGCTGCTGCTGCTGCCGCAAAACCTTCGTGGCGATGTGGGGCTACTGTTGCTGCCTCAGCGACGTGGCGTGCCGTGGCGGGGAGACGGCGACGCGAAGAGCCCCGGCCCCCGGCAACCCCATCCCCAGGGGGCGTCCATAACCTTAAACTGTTTAAGGACGCGCCCACGACGGCGCACGAAACCGACGTGACCGGGACGAGGTGTATCCATTATTCAACCAGAGCCAAGCCCGTCAGTTATCCATCGAACGGAGAGACACGGAGGGCACAACCAGCTAGCGCCAGCTGGCTGCAGCTGGAACTGGACGGGGATCCTGGTCCGCTACAGAGCGAGCGAGCGAGCGAGCGAGCGAGAGAGAGAGAGAGAGAGAGAGAGAGAGAGAGAGAGAGAGAGAGAGAGAGAGAGATCCTGGCATCGATCCTCATCAAAGCGCAGTACTGCTTGGCGCACTCAGACTCTTCCCACGCATCGGAACATTATGCTGATGAGGGTCCCTCCTCCTAGCCATCGCATCGGACCTCCGCGAGAACCCCCTCCCCCCCCCTCTTTCCCTTCTCCATTTTCGCCTCCCCCTTCCCCTCACGATAACTAGGAGGAGGAGGAGGAAGGAGGTTTTGCTTGCAGCACGGACCTCGTCGACGAAACAATGGTCTTATCAGCCAAAGGGACAAAATAAAAGCGCAACTTGGAATAATATCTCGCACTCCTGGACGGAAATAGAGTAAAATAAAAAAATAATATAATACATCAATGTTGAGGGACAATCTGATGGTAACAAGTGAAATATTTAAAATGGCGCGACCATGGGTCATCTTCGAGCTTGTTTGCGTGAGATCGGGCGGAAATTGTCCCCCTGCAAAGTCTTTTGTCCTGAGGAGGAAACGTCAGGTGGAAATGGTCATGCCTTCCTGGCCCGCTCGCCGCTATGCAGACCTCCTGCGCACCGCACCAGTCATACTTGCACATGTACACTCCTAGGAAAGGCGAAAAGGAATTTAAAAGATATATTTGTTGTCTCTCCTTAACATCTTTCAGCAGTGACTCACACACAATTATTTCACACTGGCGGCTTTCGATCTAACAAAATAATTTACTTTGCAAGATTAAAGAAAAATGTCCCTAAGGCAGAGGGATATTATTTTGAAACCAAAAAATGCAATCATCAAAATCACACAACTTTTGGGGAGGTGGATGTAAATACAGCGCGTGCGGATTTCCGAAGGTGCAGAGCACACACGGGTGAAAGTGAGATGGAGCAGGCGGCGCCCTCAGCCCACGCCCCGCCCCGCCCCGCCCCGCCACACCTGGCCGCTTGGGGGCGTTATGCGGCGTGGCACGGCGTGGCGCATATCTCTTCATAGGCGGGGGAGGAGGTGGTAATTAGCACGGGAGCGGGGGGGCGGAGTGGAGCCTGAGTGAATGTGTTGAGATAGAAAGGAGACTAACGAGACTTCTAACACCTCCGGGGAGCCCTACAACACCGCCCCAACTATGTACTCCGCGCGCACACACACACACACACACACTGTCTGTCTGTCTGTCTCTGTCTCTGTCTCTGTCTCTCTCTCTCTCTCTCTCTCTCTCTCTGCCGGAGTGTAATCATCATGACGAGTGGTTGTGTGCTTTGTTCACAGAACGTAAAAGAAATAAAAAGTGAGTAAGAAGGTTGATGGCCACGCCCTGGCGAACTTGCCGATAGGTGCTCCGGACCTCCGGACTGCCCTGCTCTACTTATGACGCCCGGCCCACGAAACCAAACTGTAAGCACTTTGGAACTCACATCTTAAAATCAAAGTAAGTGCACCTGCAAGTATGAGCGAACAAACTTCTACTGCAGTAGATGTATGCGACAGAGTCGTTCACACTTTGCTCACACATGCGCACGTACACTTGCGAAAAACAGCAGTATGCTCTTACCACAACATCTATAGTTACAACAGTGTGAGTTTACTCGCGCACCTTGCGGAAGTGTGCGAAATTCATGCACTTTAGGGATTTTCAGCATGGTTTTCGCGGATAAAAGGGCGAATTAGAGTTCCGCGACTCTGGACACAAAACACGCTCGCGATGTGTTATACCGGGTGATTCAGAGCACGCGCCGCCGTGTTGCGGGTTTGCCTATCCTCGACTCGGCGGGCGCACGGGTGAGAGGTGAGGAGGGGACCCCTCACCTCCTTACCTCTCACCCGTGCGCCCGCCGAGTCGAGGATATGCAAACCCGCAACACGGCGGCGCGTGCTCTGAATCACCCGGTACATGTTTTCATTGTCCCGCCCCGCTCTGCTCCGGGGCTGACCGCGGCGCGACGGGACGGGATGGGAGCGGGCACAGTTTGCATATGTATGAAGGATAAGGGGGGGAGGGGTGACGTCACGCTAACGATTTGTGATCCTGCTAACCGTGACAACGGGCCCCTCCCACACGCGCGCGAGAGCGAGAGCGGGAGGTCCTGCTCCTGTCTGCTCCCCCCCGCGGCGCAGAGTGCAAGAGCAGCGTGTATCTACAAAACTGGAAGTAATGATAACGATGTCATCTATTTTGAATCTCGTATTATAGCGTTACGGTGGTACCCATAGGACTTTACGTACGTAGCAAGACACCCCCCCCCCCTCCAACACACAAATAAAAAGTGAAATTATTTGATGTTGATAAGGCAGCGCACGGTGGCCATGAAAACGAATGTGTGTGGCAGAACAGCTGTTTTTGCTTATCACACACGCTAGACGAGTTCTCTTCCCCTTCCGTCCGGCCGGGCGAGCAGGCGCGCGAATATGCACACATAGAGGCCCAATACAGCCCCCCCCCCCCACACAGACACACTCCTCGCCTCAGAGGGATGCCCAGAGTATTGAACCACAACCACGCGTTATCGTCACCACTGCCGCACAATCAGCTGACTCCTCGCTCGCGCGCTGTTTCTGTTTCTGAGACCATGGCAGCCGGTCTGGCGGCTCCAACCGCACCACACTCCCCGCCGCCGCCCCGCCCGCTGCATGCAGCTCTACAAACACACCAACATTCCTGCAGACTGACTCACTCGGCCGCCAATAATAAAGTCCGTCGCATCTCGCGCCGATGGTGCTGATGAGCCCCGTGCCCCGCGACAGGCGCGCGCGTGCTGCAGCCAGTGGCGTAGGTGCTCTCTCTCTCTATCTCTCTCTCTAACTCGCGCTGCTGCTGCTGCTGCTGTCAAGGTCGGTCGGGCGATAGAAAACACTCTCGTCGACTTTCACTCGGTAGATGAGCCCAGGGCCCCCCGAGCCGCCGCCCCTCCTGAGCCGAGCGGCAGCGCCTAGGCCAGGCCCGCCCGGCCGGGAGGTCTTGTGGAGGTCCTGTGGAAGTCCTGTGGAGGTCCTTCGGCCGCACAGGTTACGTTATACGGGCGTGCCTCGTGCCATTGTCACGGGTCACGTTGAAAACAAAATCCTTGTACAGGAAAACCCGAGAGAAAACGTACTAACCTACAGTAGGACAGTACTGTACCATACCTATTGAACAAAGCCACAGTTCTGCAGTAAGAAATTCATTCGTCTTATTCTTCTTCATTTTTGGTTTCGGGGAAAAGTCTTACAAAAAGTACACTTCGTTGACACCTGCAAGTACGTGTCAGTGTCAGGTGGTGGTGCAGAGCAGATAAGCAGGCAGTATCTTATTATTAGCATGAGCTGACAAGTTCCACCTGCCTCGGCCCTCAAGTAGGAGAGTAAGAGTAAGTGCAAGTGTAGAACAGGTGTTTTAGTCCTGTGATGCACAAACTGCAAGGTTGAAACATTTCGCAAAAGATAAGTTAAACATCATGTCTCAAGCATAAAAATCCCGAGTAACACACATCAAGTGTGATCCATATTACACATTTTGTTTCATACCAGTGGCACCCCGTCACACAGGCGCGTGCGTGCAGTGCAGGAGGGGCAGCCGACCGCTGCGCCAACAAGGCATCCATTTTGTACAGCGGCAGCAGAAGCAGTGCTCCGCGCCGCCCCGCCGCGCCCACCGGACCATCGTCGTTCACTACTGCTGCTTAATTTCACCGGCGGTGCGGTAACTAGCCCAGGGGAAACCAAACCATCTCTCTCTCTCTCTCTCTCTCTCTCTCTCTCTCTCTCTCTCTCTCTCTCTCTCTCTCTCTCGGCACCATGCGCTGCTGCGGCCTTGCCGTAGGGCTAGAATCACGCGGTGAATCGAGGATTCCGCACACGACCAACTCCCACCGCCCCGCCTCGCCCCGCCCCGCCCCGCCGGGTGAGGTAAACGACACAAGCTGTGCGCCCCTGCTCCCTGTACACTGTCGCGGACAACGAGCTTGCAGCAGCAGCAGAGTTCTCAAACGGGCGGGCGGGCTCCGCCCGCCAGCCACCGAGCGCTCATCGCCAGAGCGCCCGGCCCGACCCGTCTCTTCGTCA